GCATGCGTTGGCAGTACAAACCTACCCAGAGTCTCGAAGTACCTTGGAAAATGGGTACAAGTACCTGTTTTTGTAGGCTGATGTCCCATTTTCAAAGGTACTATTTGGAGGGTCCAAGTAAATTGGGTTTTGTTGGAGAGTTTGGAGTTAGCGTCTTGGAATGTCCGGTAACCGAACGGGAAGAATAGAGGGGTTGATGCGAGGTAGCACATGTATCACAGTCACACATATTGGTTGTTCACTTGGGGGTACAGTATCTCCTTTTGTCAATGAACCAACATTAATAGTAAAAGGCCATCTATATCGCCTCCATGATTGCTCTAGCTTTGCAATCTTTGACTCACAGGGTGGTTCTGGAGGTTCTCTCGCATCCATTCTTCACACTCCCTGATCAACCTATCTTTTGACCCACATTATGTTACATAACCTTGCCTGCCCATACCCTTGCCAAGGGTTTAACCCTTCGTGGCGCAGTAGTGCATTCCCTTATCAGCCAAAGGGCCTTTTCAGGTCTATACCTCTACCAACCCTAGGGATCCAGTCGTACCTTCTCAGGTACGGTGATTGGAGACACACCGCTATGTAGGTGCCAGGAGGGTCCAATCACCTGCTAAAAAGGTACGACTGGATCCCTAGGGCAAGAACAGCTCTGTTGAACTCCACACGTCACACGTCACACGAGACATCGCACTGTACCAAGGCCTGCACCAAGGCTTCTGCGCTGGGCCTGGACACCAGGTGAATGGATCGAAGTTAGGAGAGATCTAATCACCAGGAGTCACATGGAGTTGGGTGGACTTAGTCGCTAAGACTTCGTGAGTGGATCGTCCCGGGCACCCCCGACTTCCGTATCCTCCGGCACCAGTTTGAGAGATCTGATCAAGGACATATCAGCCTGGTCCTTCCAAGTGACCCTCTGAGATCCTGGGTGTATCGCCTACCTCCACACGGCAACTGCAACAGCCGAGAGTTTGGATGCAAAGTCCTCGAAGGAGTGCGGTAGGTGCAAGCTTTGACGGTCTTTGGGGAAGGTAATCCTTCATATTTGTGGATCGGTTCAACCAAACTCAGAGTCCACTAACCACAGGAAGTTCCAAAAAACGGCCTGGCTCCACACTTTTCGGACGCCCGCAACATCTGCTGCTGGCAAAGCTGCGAAAACATGCTGGACAATCTCGCAGTGAAGGCCTCATTGAGTTCTCACGCCACCAAGATGAACCAATCAGAGTTTGCTGGGGAAAATGGTCATGCAAGGGGCCATGCCATCCACTTTAATTATTATTTCAGGGAATGCACAAATTTTGACACTGCAAACAGCCACATTTCTGCATCCCTTGGCTGCGCGAAAGCTCGCTTTCCTCACTGAAAGATTTGTAAAGCTCCAATTGCCTTTGGCAGGAGCCGCTAAGTTGCAGCCTTGACCGAAACCATCCAAAGCAACACATGTCCGGACATCGCTGTCCTAATGAAGGCTGGTTTCCAAACGTGCATGAGTTGGTTCATTTGCTTCAAAGGGGAAACACATTGCATTTTACAGCCTCATTGGCTCATCCTTCCAAAAAGACAATGTGATTTCTATCCAGCAACAAGGTTGGGGAACTCCCTGTAGATCCACACAGCTCCCTGTTTAATGGGGACTATGGATACCCCCGGCGACCTATGTCGCCGTCGCTCCCTCCTGAAGAAAAGCTAGCCATCCAACCCTAACCCTCCCAAGCAGGCTGCGGCTGGACAGTTCAGGTTGACCGTGATCCTATGAGATAGATACCGTGCACTGTCTCGACACCTTTAACACCCTGAGCTCTTGGACCTCTGAAACCAATTAATGTTGGATCCTGATTATATGCAAAAGGGATTCCCCCCCATCTAAACAAATGGGAGGTCTTCTACAATAAACATCAATAAACTACCACCAAAACAAATCTGGGTTCCTCGGAGGATTCCTGTACATATATAATAGTATTCATCGTCCTTTCTCAGGTTCTTTGTAATCAAATATTCCTATGCAGCCTCAGTCTTCAGCAGATATTCTGCAAGCCTCAGCACTCAAGCCCTCAGCTCAAGCCTGGAGCCATGGCCAGCAACCAATTCAGCAACCAATTCAATATTATAGAGTGCTTTGACTGATCAGGATTCAACTTTATCAACCAATTACTCTCCCTGGCCACGAAACGAGACCGATCTCCTCTGGAGACTTAATTCAGTTGATTCTATAACAAAAGACATATCCGGAGAGATCGAACGTCCAGTCAACATGTGAAATCGTGGGTCAACACCTGAGCCCAGCTATACCAGGACCCTGTCTATTTATAGCCCCTTAGCTGTGATTCGGGGTGTCCATTAACCACCCCTTGAAGGCCCTGGTATAGTTGAACTATATCCCTTCCAGGAGTCGCAAAGCTCGGGTGCCGGGTCCGAGCGGAGGATGGAGTGCAGGTGCCCCTGTCACATCCATTCATGAATAGGCCACTTAGGGACTAAGAACCACCCCGACATGTGACTCCTGGTTAAGGAACCTGTATTCACTGTATTCTGTTTTGGTGGTCAATCACGCTCCCCGGTTTTCACCCACAGCCATTTCTTGCGTGTCCGTCGAGAGCGGCAGCTTGTTCCGTCGAGAGAAGCCACAATCCTACGAGCCAACAGCGCTCGAGCGGAACCGCATGATCCACATCACACGATGTTGGAGAACGCTGTTGGGACCGGCGTCCGCGCCCATGGCAGGCTTTGGATTTCCGCTGGGATTTCCTTCTGGAACGTCTCTTCTGTGAGGCTTGCCCCGGTTCCCGGCGACCTTTCTGGTGTTGAAAGGTTGAAAGATCTAGACCCAAACAGAACCATACAGAACCCATAAAACTAGCATCTTTCCCTTACATTGGGATGGCTGATTTCTGGGGTCAATGTATCTGTTTGGCAGGAGCATCCAAGGATTTGCTCATGGACCACACTCCTTATGGGCTTTCATTGGCCAAGTGTTGGTACATCCGTGCGTAAGTGTGTAGCTAATGACTTCTTTCTTGATCGATGCAAAATAGAACAACAACAACAACAACAACAACAACAACAACAACAACAACACCATGCCTTGGGTGAGCCAGTCACCAATCGGTACCTTCTTAGATTGTTGTTTTGGCAAAACCCCCTCGGGCAACACCAGCGGACTTCCTTCGAGCAGCGCGGTCCCGGGCCACGGGTGACATCGTAGGGCCTCGGAGAATCCGGTCTTGGTTCGGGCCCAGACCCCTGTGTTTCGGGGTCCAACCCCTGCCATGGAGAGCCTAACAACGGATTGTTAGGGTCTATCATTTCTTGATGAGGCCCAGTATTTGAGCAAGTCTTGGTGTCCTTCAAAAAGAAGCTCGTCGCAACCGACGTCGTCTATGACGGTGGCATGTTTGTTCCACGCTGGGTCGACGCACGCTCTGCTTCGGGAAAAGTATGCACGTCCAACTGCCGGAAAAAGCGAGAAAACTGGCAGCCCCAAGCCATGACAAAAAAAGACACCGAGGGTAAGAGAGATGTACTCAAAACATCCTTCGCAGAACAAACCAGTGTGCACCGAATGCAAGAACTTGAGAAAGAAAGAAAACATGGGAACACATGGATTTCCCAAAGCCTGCAAAGCTTCCCTTTGGCCCACTGCCCTGAATCCTCTGCCCTTTGATGTTTGGATCCACTCCCTTTTCAATGTATATATATATATAGTACTTTCTCAGTGGCTAAGGGACAGTTTGAAGGTGCAGAAATCAGCACCAGCATGAAAAAATGGAAGCAACTGCATCTAAACAGCTTTTATTGGAGGTTATTTTGGTTGTATCGGGGATTTTTGGGTTGATGAATGACTGTTCATGTTGCCAACTTTGACGACCTTTGATCTAACAGACCTAGCTGATCTGCCATCCTGTGAGGCTCCAACTGCTGCCAGGTCTCACACATTTCAAACATCCTTCTTGCAATGCGAAGCGAATGCGATGAGCCTAAGGCGACAAGGCTTGGGTTTGGCCCAGCGAGCAGCGACTCTATGCTATTCTATGTAGAATCATTACCCAGCAGTTCCAAAGCAATTGGTTTTTAGATGTGTTTAGTCCTTATATAAGTGAGTGGATAATGGGAATCCCTATCCTCCAATAGGCATGCCTTTGGAACTGCTCGACAGTAGATATTCCCAAAGAAGCCGAAGGGGGGCGATCGCTGCTACCAGGTATGACCAGCAAGTGATGTGGCGGATAGAGTTGGGCTCCAAAAGAATCATAAACAACTGTCTAGCACATTCACTTAACAAATAAGCAAACACAGTTGTAAAGAATGCTTTTGACCAAATCAGGCATAACCGACATCACAGCTACTGTATATACCTTGCAACATGATCTTGATGACTTTGGATACCTCAGATTCAATCTCAAAGGCCAGTCTATCCTTTGCGTGCCTCAGACATTGTGGACATTGATGCCTTCATGATTGTGGGTTCTCAGTGGGATGGTTTCAATTCGTTCTTTCTCCACCCAGCCGAACCCTTTCAAGACACAAACACTCCCCAGGGTTTGGCATTTCGCGGTTCGATTGACTCATGCATAGGAGGTTTCAGCATGACGCCGTGTATGACCAAGAACTCGGGGCGGCTCCACGTGCTCAAGAACCCGGGCACAGCACGAGCAAAAACCCGGACTTCACAGGGGGGTTCACCCCAAGTGGTCACTCTCAGACCCGGAAACCGAAGAAGCGGGTTTCGAGCCGTTCGGATTCTAGAAGAGAAGCCCTATTAAGATCTATTAAGTAAACTCTCCCTCTTGGATCTGCTTGAGTCCCCCAGGTTCCAAATTACATTGCCTTGAGCCCTTTTCAACCATCTCAATGTTGGACAAATATGCCTCGCATGGAGTGCTTTGCCAAAGCCCTATAGTATTATTTGTACAGTAGTGTTCCAGGGGGATATGGTAGGGGTATACTCTCCAATCCTCGATTTGGGAAGATCAGCCTGAGTCCCATATGGCCCTGGCCTCTCAGTTCCCGCCAGTGAAGGAGTTCATATTGGTGGAGCCCTCGACATGCCGCGCTTTCAATCGCCGACGGCCAAGCCGACCGAAGTGATTCCCCCCTGACAGCTCCCTACATGCAAAGGTCGTCTTGGATGAGGCTTTTGGGGGCAGGTCAAAGCATTCATACTTGATTTGATTCCTTAGGTAACTCCCTGCTTTCTGCCCTTCGAAGGTCGGCATTGACTCTCGTCATGGGCCTCGGCAGGCATGTTGTTTTTGTTTGTGGTATATAATCTTTTGGTCAGGTCAACAGAACAAAGGGACCCATTGCCAGACACTACATTCACTTGGCTGGGTTCATTGTCCCGCTAGGCCTGCACCAAATGATCTAGCGTGAGGAAACAAGAGTCCACAGCTGAGTCTCTCACTCAAGAGTTTCCTCATAGAGCTGAGTCTGTGCCCGCCGTGCATGGAGGGTACAGAAAAACCTTACAAAACTGCGCCTTCACCTTGGACTATGGGACATGTTTCCAGTTCTATCTCAGCGTTTCTGGGTCTTTCTTGATGTTTTCTTGCAGGGTTTCACCGAACAAATCTCGCGCCGGGCCTCCACCCAGTTGCCGATCGTCCGTTTGGCAGCTCCTGAAAGAGTGAAAGCGCTCGACTGGACGGGATCACCGATCACCACAGATGGCCATGGCCAGGGGTGGCAGTTGGAGGCCAACCAACAAACGTTGAAAAACCCTTATAGACTATCCCATAGGTACCCTGGGAAAGTCATGTTTTTTGGCAGACCCCCAACGATCCATGTAGCACCTGTTGACCATGAAAAAACATCAGTAATCAGTGAAGAAACTACGCAGCCTGAAAGTATAATGAAAGTGGAAACTGGCCCCTTGTGGTTTCCACTTCCACGATTTCAGGGATCGTGTCTTCAGGAGCCGTGTCACTTGGAGGCATCAAACAAGGATGGGTCCTGGGTGGGAACACCCCAAACAATCTGTCCTCCCATATCTCATCAGCAAGAGGTCACAACTAAGAGCATTAACATGGTTTGCAGGGAAACATCTTGTAAGGATGGCCCTTTAACCCCATTGGCACCAAAGATCTATGTGTAAACATATTCATCATATTAGATATATATATATATATTATATATATATATAGAGAGAGAGAGGGGCAAAACCATCAACTAAACCCCAGTGCTCCAGGACCGGTTCCCATTCTAGTACACACCAATACGAACCTGAGTCTCAAAAGGCTGCTCATCTACCAGACCTTTCAATCCACCCTCTTCCATCTTCCTTGGTCTTCCTACCATCCCGCATGCAAAAAAAAAAAATGTTTCATTCAAACGACATCCACACAAGCACACACCGAAGACCGAGCCGACTGCCACGACCGCCACCAAGGCACGCGCGAAGTCGGCGAAGCTGATGGCGCGCTGCTTCAATTCCTCCAAGATCTTCTCATCCGGAAGGTCAGTGACCATCCTGGGGTCGTCTAAAAAATGAGGGAACGGTGGACATCACAAACGTCGATCTGTGTTGTTGCTCTGAAAAAACACCGGTGAATAGTTCCGCATCAACGCCTGCGTGTCAAGCTGCGTTGCCACCGGTCCAAGCCACAGGCTTGCTGGTTGGGGTGTTCAGGTTTGTGGAAAGTCAAGGAGCTTGAGCCAATCTTTTATAATCCCTAGGGATCCAAGTACCTTCTCAGAAGGCACTTGGACCCTCCAAAGCCACCCCAAACACCTTCTGAGAAGGTACTTGGATCCCTAGGGAATCCAGAATCCATGCGCACAGAATCCTGACAAACTGCTTAACATCGTGCGACAAAACTTTTCCGATATACGTCGTTCGTCCTGATGGCTCTATTCACTCAAGCGGATGGTGATGGCTCTAATGTCCAGGTATGGTGCAGGGATAGGAAGGCTACATGGTCTGATGGCGGTGCAGTCGTCATCCCACACGATGCAGCGGTCTAAGGCGTACTGGGCTGCGGTTTGAGGCGTACTGGGCTGCGGTCAAAGCCGCCGGGGGCAGAGTTGCTGCTCTGGTGCAAGGTCGGGTGGAGGAACAACATCCCTTTTTGCAAGGCAGACTTTGTCGAACTGGAGGCGCAAGACTTCTCTGAACTGGCAGAGGTGGTAGAACGCGTGATCCTCTACCAATTTCGGCCTGGCCGTATGTGACATCAGCCGCTTCCCTCCACTTCTCTGTCAGGATCGCAGGTGATGAGAGTAGTATAGTGAGCATTGAGTAGTATAGTCAGTGAGCTGAAGATATGCTCGTCTTCCTGGCTGAAGAGTGTGCGGTTGCAATTCGCGAGTTTGTCTTCTGTCGGAGACTAAAATATAACCCTGCCAGGCGCCCCAGGGCGACTGCCTCATGCAGTTCGAACACCAGCTGCCAGGCGTCAGCTGGCACCGTGGTCAATTCGACCCGCTTGGTGTCATGGAAAAACTTCCGCACCCAAGTTGAATTGATGTCTTGCTGTCATGTCTCACCCTGACAAGGAGAAACTGGTCAGGTCTGTCTGGCACAATCCAAATATGTATACTGGTAATACCTTGAAACACTGGAAACCTGATGTGTTGAGGGTATGATGGCACCCAAGTACCCTTCACCCTGATTAGTAGTATATATATATATTGTAATATATATATATAGTTATATATAATATGTATAGTTATAACCTGTACACTCCCTGAAATAATCATGGAAGTCATGGTCCCTTGATTGACCATTTCCTCAGTCGTACAGTGAGTTTTCCACAGCCAGTGCTGGCGCCAGTGCTGGCGCCAGTGCAGTCTGACCAGACTTTGGTTTACCAGAATCCAATCACATCCCCCATATGCAGAGGAATGTATCAAATCGCCTTGCAAAGGCGACTCCAGACTTGTCGTTGTCGTGAGTCTGGAGTCGCTGTCGAGTCCATCGGTCGCTACATGACGGAGGGGTGCCCGTTTGGGCTCCAGTCGTAGCTCCTCAGAAGGTATGACTGGACCCTCTAAGCCTACCGCAAACACATCCAAACACCTTCTTAGAAGGTACTTGGAGCCCTAGGGGTGGTGAATGTAGGCCAAGTGTTGGCTGCATGATTGGAGGCGCCAATGGCTGAATTAACTGGGATTCACACGCAGCTCACAACCTTGGGCGTAAAATGGTCCCTACATGTCCCTACAACCCTTGGATTTACTTACGGAACCCGGAATCTGCCCATAGGGAAAATAATACATAAGCGTAACCTTAAGCAAAACCAGGAACCCAACCACTCGGATTTGCATCTACTTCCCCACATGCAAGCGGGGTCATCATTGTTGTAACACCGTCTATACTTCCCCTTGGTTCACCCTTGGCATGCAACGATTGATCAACGGATTTGCTGATCCAATGCCTCATAATCCCTAGGGATCCAAGTACCTTCTCAGCAGGTGATTGGACCCTCCAAACCTACATGAACACATCACGTGCTGAGAAGGTACGACTGGATCCCTACGGAATTAGAACCTGATCCCCCACAGTTTCCCTGTAAGCCTTTTCACCTGTTCCACCCAAAAAGACTTTCCACGCCACCCCCCAGAAGCGTCCGGATGAATGCGATGTGTCCTGTCCCAAACACCGTTGGTCAGGTGATCGATCCAGAGTCTCACTGAGTGGGTCCATTTTAGACCCCCGCCAAAACGGTAACTCGGCCGAGCATCAAGTGCTGCTCGTCCAAAACTTCAATATGACCGACCTCAGCCAAGTGTAGGGTCGAGATAGATGTACTGATTTACCAAAACCACTACCAAAACCATATTCTAGTCGGCCCTTTTGTGAAAAAGAGGGAAGAACAACATCTAACAACCTCTACAAACCCTACATCAACGGACAGGAAACATCCTGAATCCATCCACGTCATCTCCTGATCGACATCTACTGCGTTTGGGAACTGCCTGGGAACCTTTGGGCCTGACCTCAAAACCTGCAGGTTCAGTGCGGACTTGCAATCTTTATGGTCCTATCACCTATATACTTCTAAGCACACTGGATGGATCTAGATGGGATGTCGCAGAACTCTGTGCATATAGGATGTTCTCTACAACCAGTGACCAGCAGGAATTCCAACGAGATTGGGACTGGTATATATGCCGTCCCATTGAACCCCCCAAACCACCCCAACTGATCGGCATATATGGCAGTCCCATGGAGCGTCTGGGGAAGGATCATCCCCAGATGCTCGCGAGTTTGAAAATACCCTCCCCAAACACTCCATGTATGCCATATACGCCTACATTGGGTTGGTTTTGGGGTTCAATGTAGGCATATATGACAGTCCCATTAGTCGTGCTTGGGCTTTGAAGCAGTGTAGATCCCGACTCCGCTTCGTCCAAAACTGAACCCGAAAACCATACCCGCAGGGCGAAGGCGAACTCGTGTTGTGCTGCTTTTAACTCTGAGAGGCGAGGAAAATGCCGAAGATCTGCAGGTGCGAAAAAATGCTTCCCCCAAAGTTCACGCAGGCGGTGCAAAAGGCCTCGGTTGAGGACGAGCTGCGCGTCCGAGAGGCCGTGCCGATTCCGATGCGCCATGCAGGGTAGCAGGGCAGCGTTCGGATTGGATGGGCCGTTCGGATGGGCCTAGTTTCATGGCTCAAAATGCTGACTCGTTGCCTGGAAGTTTCTTTTTCGAAAATGAAGCTTGAGCTTGGCAACACCAGTGCTTGCTCAATTAGTCGGGAACCCCCAACGAGGTTGAAAGGATTATCCACTTTGACGAAGTACCATGTGAGGTCGCTCGAAACCTCGGGCCGACTCGGGGCCCTAAACAACATGGCTCAATGGTGGTGTAAAGAGTCGTCGTGTGTTCTTGTTGGCTTAAAGGAAGCAGTTGTTTTTTTGCTATGGTTGATATTGGTCTTCTTCTATACTAGTTACTAGTTGTACCGTACAACAGTGGTGCAATTTAAAAACACACCTGGCCGAAACATTCCATGGGATTGGCTCTCGTTGCATACATTGGGGTGGTCTTCCTTCAGGTAATGTTCATGTATCCCAGACACTCCATGGGACTGCCATAAATGCTTACATTGACCCCCAGTCAACCACCCCAATGTGGGCATGTATGGCAGTCCCATGGAGTGTGTGGGAATGTCAATATTCCAGTTGGTGTGTCTGGGACACGTGATTACAGGCCGCCCAGGGCCACGATTTCACGACCGAATGCCAAAAAAGGAGTGTCAAGAGGGCCCGAAAGAGGTGTATTTTGGTACTTATTTCGGTACAACGTGTCATCTGGAAAAAGCTGTGTTTACTCTACCTCTTTGCCAAAATGGCCAACCGGTCGTCCACTCGCACGACCGTCCGGACCTCTGCATCCACGATCACGTAGTAGCAAAGCTCATTCAATGCCGTCAAGCGCCCGCGGGTATACCAGTCCTTTGAGGCACCGCTTTGGGTCTCGTCTCGTCTCCACCGGCGTCCCTAGGCCCAGGTCCGGCTCCCGGCTCCAGTCGCTCCCAGTCATACCTAGCTTCGTGAAACGGTTCGGTGGGATGACTGCGGCCCGGGTGCCAGCCAGTCGGGTCCAGTCATACCGAACCTGAGAAGGTGGGACTGAGCTGGGTGCCAGGGTCAGGTCCAGTCATACCGAACCTGAGAAGGTGGGACTGGAGCGCTAGGGACTGGGTAAAAAACCATGAATGTAATCTCCACTGAGCCTCTACTACACCAAGGAATGGAACCTGAAGATGGACCCTTCAAAGACTACCAGTGGTTTTCAGGGTCCATGTTAGTCTTAGTCTTCAAGCGGGTCCCTCACCCAGCAGACGACCACAAGGACATACAGTACAAGGAATGAGATGGAATAAAGGATTTAGAATGGATTTAGGTAGGATGGTTTAGGACCTTGAGGTCTAGGGTTGTTGTAGAGCTCTTTTGGGGCCTTTCCGCCCCCTCACCGCCTTTCCAAGCTCACTGCGGAACCTCCACCTCGCTGCCAGGCATCCGCCCACAAGGTGATCATGCACAGGCAGCTGTTCCTCGGCGGAACGGGTGGAAGTTCCCAACTGAGCTGTCACCAGCAGAGGTGGTAGCCAGTGACCTGAACGGACCCGGACAACCGAACGGGTACCGATTACCTGGGATAGTCGAACTATAGGGTTCTTCAACCTTTGTTGGAACCTAGCCAGATTCACCTGATCGAACATCGCCCACACACTCAAAATTGCGAGCCCCCGCACCTTCACTCCCCCTTGTCGAAGCGGGTAGGGGAAGGCTGGCTCATGCATCACTGTACTGGTGGGTTGATCATGTGAGAAAAGAAAAAAAAAGTACCCAGACGCTCCATGGGACTGCCATATATGCCGATCAGTTAGGGTGGTTGACTGGGGGTCAATGGGGCGGCATATATGGCAGTCCCATTAGTCGTGTCTGGGTATTTTGTATTCCGTGGCAGTCAAGGACCGTTGAACCCTGCTCTAACACACGTGAGTGACATGTAACGATGTTTTTTTGGGGTGCTGGAAGCAGGAGTGATGACATCACACCGAAGAAGTCAACAGCATACCAACGGCAGCGAGTCTTCTCTCTTAGAAATGACGGCGGGCTAGAGGCGATCTTGATGATGTCTTTTTTTCTTCTGGTGTTTGCCAAGGCTTTGCCAAGGCTTTAGCGTGTCCAAGGGTTTGCAAAGCGTTTTTCTGGTCCACTCAAGTCCACTGAAATTCTGCCAGGGGTGTTTGTCAAGGGTCTCGCAAGTCCATTCAAATTCTGCTAGGGGTGTTTGCCAAGGGTTTTGGACGTCCCTCAAACTCTGCCAGAGGTTTTGCCACGCATTTTTGAAAACCAAAATCACTCTGCCAAAGGTTTTGCCGGGGTTTTAGATACCTTTCTGATGGATTTCTATGGAGCAATCTTAATTATGCGGTGCCGCTTTCAAGATAGTTGTGACCTTCATTTACAAGATTTCAAACAACTTAACTTTCTACCAGGCGCATGTCTCACCTGGACTATTCTAGATTCTAAATTTCGACCCATGACTGGTTTGGTCTTGGCGTCTATTTTGGAGTTACCTGCTTTGTGCCAGGACAGCAACCGATTTCACCTGCCACTCTGCTGCAACTCAGCTTCTTCTCGCCCGTGCACTCCACCAACTGGTGCTCCTGGCGGGGTGGCCGAGCTGCGCTGAGCTAGGCCGCACTGGCACCCAAAACGATCAACATGGGCAGGTTAAGCATCAACTGGTCATCGACCTGGAGTACCGAAACTGGGACCATGACAAGTCAGCTGGCGAAGAAAGGGGCACCCCCCTCGGGGCAGTTGGTAGGTGCCATGCGCTACTGGCCCTATAGGGCTCCAACCATCTCCTCAAGAGGTGGTTAGACCCCCCTGGCACCCACCTCAACCACCTTCGAAACGGAGGTGCTTGGAGCCCTAGGGCTAGCATGAAACCGAAGGAAGGTGGTGATGTCAACCGAAACCACGACAGAATTGGAAGACATTGATTCAGCCAATATTGACCCAGGTTCCATGACTCACGACTCATCGCTGCCCGAGGAGATTCTTGCAGATCTCACTGGTTTAAACCACAAGTGATGCAGCATCCAGCTGCAGCTGTAAAGGGAAATGCTCAGAACATCCACCTGAACCGTCAGATATGGACTCCTGGACCGGATGTGCTGTCCAGGAACCTGGAAACATAAGACATCATACATGTTACATATTCCCTATGGATCCACATACCTTCTCAGGTACGGTGATTGGAGACTATTTATGTAGGCGCCAGGGGGGTCCAAGTACCTTCTGAGAAGGTATGTGGATCCATAGGGATTCCCCAAAGAAGGGGATTGAACCATGAGAAAACACATCACCTTAAGCAAAACCAGGTCAAGGTGTTCTACAAGTACTTGGTGACCCCTAGGCCCTACACGGAAGGTGTTCTGCAGGTCTCGGCTGGTATCTGCAGGTTTGCTTCTGCAAGTAGGGACAAGGTTCCTGCTTCTGCAGGTCTCAGGTGCCGCTGCTTCGAGGTAGAATTCAACGATCCTGGCCATCCTCCTCGCACCAGACTTTCGATCTACAGTGGCCATCCCTGGCCCCCTTCCTGGAGGCCCTTCCCAGCACCACATGTGTGTGTGGCACGAACAAACACCACGGACAGGATTTGGTAGCAGGCACGGACATCCACCAGCCTTGAGTGGGCTGCCAAACCTAGTGCTACAATCAATTGGCCCATGCTTTTGGGAGCGCGTGACACCCGTCGCAGCTCCTTCGCCTGATAGCTCATGACGCCCGTCTGCATGATGTACGCCTCGCGATGTTGGAATCGGTACGTTGGAATCGTGCTAGGGGCGAGGCGAAGCACGGTGCTTCGCCTCGCCCGGTCGAATCGTGTAGAGGTTTTTGGGTCCAAGCTTTCATCAATCAGGCAACTGAACATGGAAATGATTTAATGAAATATCTCCGGGGGACTCAGAAGCAACCCTCTCTTTTGTACCTCAGTTCGTTCAGACTTGAGAAGAGCAACCTGAAAAGAGCTTTGAGGAGCGAACTGGTTTCTGAATGTCCGTCAGTCGACCCGCAGGGCCTGTGCACAATCGCTGCCGGGCAGGAAGACGTCTTGCCCTGGTGGGGCTGCAGCCTCTTCCATGGCCTCGTGGCAAATGAGGCGGATCAGGAACTGATCCTCTTCCTGGAGCTGCCGCGCGATCGCGAAGAAGAAAGCCGGAAGAAGAGAACATTCAACTATCGCGACTTAGGTCCTAGGTGTTGTTCATCTGCTATTCCCAGACACTCCATGGGACTGCCATATATGTCGATCAGTTGGGATGGTTTTGGGGGTTAATGAGCGTCTGCTATTGATTTAAATTTGCAATAAAATGAGGTGGAAATCCTCCCAGGCGGTGGGGGTTTTGGACCTGTTCACACCAGGAAGGGCCTCGCCCAAGATGTCGACTCACCAAACAGCTGGGGTGACCAAACACCATGCAGGTCCTCACGGGATGCACACAAAGCACCCCGACAACGGCTGTCCTTCATTCGATCGGGCCAAAATTGGAACTTCACCAATGTCAAAGCGTACATCCTCAGTGCAGGTAGCCAAAGTAGAGCAGGGTCATAGGGAGAATGTGGAGATGAAAAGGTTAAGCCATTGGTGTAATAGAGGGGTCGCTTGGTTGTACACTTCGGGGGACCCCCTGAATTGATCAACCAATCGATAGTAAAGGCATGTAAAGGCCATCTATAGGGATTGAAACTCTTGGTTTGCAAACCATTCCTGGATATTCCGGGGAAGACATGGCATCGCGTGTTGTTCTTATCGTGAGGCCATTTAGGACTTGCAACAACTGTAGACATACATATGCTTCTAGTCTATCGTTTATAGTCTATAGTGAAAGGACATTCTTTCACTTTCACACTGCGCCTCACTTGCTGGTCTACAGGTGCCTTGAACACTTGCTCTCATCGTCCTCAAAACACAAAGCAACGTCAGGAACCCGGTGTCTTCCACCAGCAACCCGAATTCTGATGAAATGCAACCCTGTTAGACCGGTCCAACCCTATTTGACCGATCCCTTTTCTTCCTCACACGTCCTCAGCAGCTGAGATGGGATGCCATCCACGAAACCTGTTAGTGCGTTGAATCACTCTGACGAAGAACAATCGGTTTCGTGGATAGCATGGCCCCCTTGGGAGAGTACTTTCCACAAACCGGGGGTGGCCATTCACGATGGCACCATAGCGATGTGTGAGTACACGTCGCGTGCGTGCTTCGGAGTGATCTCTTGGTGTTCGCGATCCGACCCACGGAGCGGGCGCGGGTTCCGCGAACCCGATCGGAACCCTCCTCGCCCTCTTCGCCGGGCAGCTCTTCGTGGAGTTGGATCTTAAAGCGTTCCTGGAGGACGCCGGAAGACGGAAGACGGGACGTGACCGTGCAGCGGGATGACGGTGCAGAAACAATACTAAGGCGGTGCAGAAGGTGCTGGCAGTGAGACATTCTGATGATTCGGTCGGTGACCAGCGGGAATTGAGACATGAAATTCTCTGAGTGCTCTCTGGGTGGAACTCGGGATTCACTTCAATCCACAAATCCCAGTGGAACAGATGACAAGAAACTTTGCCCACTAAAAAACTTTCCTAACTTGCCACTCCCATTGCAAGTTACAAGATGTTACAAGTTTCTCTTTGCAGGTGATCGACATTTCACCGCCTCTCACCACTGAACTGGCCAGCTCACCGGGAACTGAGCGACAATGTAGGCTCTCATCGGCCAAGTCGCAGGAATTCCTCGCATCAAGTCCACCTGGCGGAAGGGAGATGGCGAAGCCCAAGCAGTGTTAGGGGCCTGCAGGGCGATATCACATATATATATATATGTATATATGTATATTTTGTAGGGCTCCTGGCCCATCTCCTCAGGTTCGGTGGTTAGACCCCCAAATCCCACCCCAACCATCTTCTCAGGTGCTTGGAGCCCTAGGATATATACAGGTACCAGGTCTTCCCCAAACTGAACTTGAAGGTTCACTGCAGTGAAGGTCCAGTGTAACATCCATATCATGTCCATCTGGGATCTATCTATGTACATACACGCACACACCTAGACAGACCCTGCAGACTCCTAGCTCTGAGTTCATAAGTTTGCCTAGGCATATATGTGGGTGATTGAAACTAATGGTCCAAGTCTCCATGACATAAGAATCGCTCAAATTCGAAGACAACCTCCCCGGTGTGCGCAACTCTGAACAGTTGATGGCTGATGGATAATGGGTACTACACCACTGACACAAACAATGTCTAACAATGCAACCGATTTTGGCGGTCAAGATACGGCATGGTGCGGGAAGGCTTGTCCAAATCGCCTGTAACCACTAAAATGCTCTAATAGCCACACAAAATATCACAAAATCACACAAAGATCAAATAACCCCCTATAGAATAGCATCAAACATCATCAAACCACCAAACTTAGCAAGCCCAAACCACCCAAAAAAGGCTCACAAACGACAACCGCAGAAAACCGGTGAATGAAACGCCAGCAACGTTCAACACGGCTTCCCAGCCCCGAACCGCATACAACCGAACACCATGCCCCTTTCCACTGCCAGAACAGCTTGCTCTTCCGAAGACCCATCCACCTCTTGATCCAGGATTGGTGGTTGATGGTTGGCGCTTTGATGGGACAAATGGTTGATGGATGTTGATGGTTGGATATGTTTCCCAACCACCAACCACCCACCATCAACCTAGCTGTCGGTGTTTTTGTTGGTCGATTGGAATGGCTCCCTGGAAGCCTTTCATCCAACAAAACTCATCAAAACTACCAAGCCTCACCACTCACCATCCACTGGTCTTTCACCGCTGGTCCCCTGCACATGCACCGCACATGCAGGATATGCCCGTCTCCCAGAAACCAACAAAAACACTTCACACTTCAAACATCTTCAGACCAAGGCTTACAAACTCATTCCGGACCTTTTCTTCCTTCCCTCGCTTGAACGATCTTCACACGCCCGAAATCGGACTCCGTGAACTCGTCCGTTCGGACCCTGTGAACTCGCCTCTTTCTCGGAGCTTCGCACTTTAAAGGCTCCCTCACGCCGCAAGGCTTCTTGCACCTGCGGAGGATGGGCGTCCCAACGCCGGGTTTGCGACCAGCGACCAGGTGTGACCTGCGAGGCCCAAAAATGGGACAGGCCAAGGGAGGGGGGTCGAGAGAAAGAAAGGGGATGGAGGATGTATAGCCATGTGGGTGGGGGGGGCCAAGCAACAGAAGACCTTCAACAGCGAGTTCAGGATGGTTGGGATCTAAGAGTCCAGATTGGAAAACAAAAGTCCAGTAGGGACTGGTGTGTTGGAGGTTCAGGATGCAACACTACAGGATGAGGGTTCAACATCATAAGTCTCTCCTCAATGTCCAGGTCGAAGTCAAATCCTGGCAAGGTCAGAGAGATTGGAAGCTAGCCGAATAGCCCTAGCCCGTAGCCTTAACTTTTTAATTGCCTATTAGGCGACTATCACATGAATCTCTGCAACATATATGCACTCCTGTCCCTACTGGTCCAGCCCGACCCAGTAAACCTGGTCCTGAGAAACTCATGTTTGTGGCACTGTTTGTGGCGTTCTTGGGTGAATTGTAATCAAATGAGGTCCGTTCCAGACCGGTAGGGCCTGTAGGGCGTGGCTGTAGCTGGTGTAAGGAAGAGAAATGATCCATCCCAGTCACCGCCGGTGCCCACCGGACGAAGCCCGGACGGTACTACCCGGATGGCCAAACGACCAAGCGGAAAGCAAGGTCCTTTTTCCAAGCACCAAATCAGACGTGCTTTTCCGGGTGGGGAGACAAAGAAGTCATTTCCCCAACAGACTCCAATCCAGCAGTCACAAAGGGGTGCTATCCATGGAGGTTAGGGGTGCCCAGAACATGAAGCTTGAGATGTCAAAACGGTCATGAGATGTCATGAAGCTTGAGACATGGTCGACCAAACCTCTGAAGGGCTTTCCATGTTGGCTAGAAAACAAGACAAACAACGAAAATAGAGATCTTTATAAATAGAGATCTTAAGCCGTCTGAAGTTCAAGGATATACAGCATTTCGAACATTTCAACTTCATAGTCATTTCCAAATATGTCCAACCTGTTTGCACTCAATATCTGAACACCTTTCAGAAGAGCCTCGGAACAAAAGGCACATACACGCACTCATTTTCCAAGGTGCAAACATGAAGTCCCCCAGAGATCTCTCCCAAAAACATTAATGTTTCAAACATGCGAAATCTGTACCAGGAGCCCTGTTTGGGGGTGTCTAGTACGAAAAAAGGTGACTGGGGGTGTCCATCAACCACCCCGACGGTCAGGGTCCTGGTAGCTTTCGTTCGTTTCAAGCACCTCAACTGTCGATCCTCTGACGACGCGACCGGTTGGCCTTGCTGAAGAGATCCACGGAAAGGTCCCGCTCAATGAAGAACCTGGGAGGGCGGAGCACTGGAAGGACATTTTTGGATATTGCGGTCCAGGAAGCTGGGAAACATGTATATATATATATTTGTATACAAAAACCAGTGGACCCTCAATTTCCCATGCAAACATTAAAGGTTTTCACATACAAAAACTATGGTTGTTGCTAAGGAAAACCAGTCTTGTTTTTGATGGTTTGTCGGCCGGTGGCACAAGCGACTCCAAGTTTGGTGGTTTATATGCACACCCATCTAAAAGACATGTAGGGATTTATGATTTGTACCATCTACTCTGAATCCAATGTCGGAACATCTTCCCACACACACACTTCGAACTTGGATTTTCAGTTAATGCAAGTATCACGTTGGGAAAGAAGGTGAGGGAAACGTAAGGTGAAAGGTCAGCGCAACTGAAATGTTTAACAATCTGTTCACTCATCTGCAGAAGCGCGGCTGAACGTCGGCGGCTGAAAGCAGCGGTGGGAAAACCTGTTTATGGGAGGGTATCATGAGGAAAAACCATGAAACCAACGAACAGCAGCAGGGTGGACCATTGGAGTCAATGTGTTGAAAGCAGGTACGTGAACCTGGCGTCCCAGGTTCATATCCTCTCCAATCATCAGTAGCTTCGTTGGCCACAGACTGATGAAAGGAGCTGTGGCCCCCTGCTTGATGGAAATGGTGAAAGGAGCCCTTTTTCCAGGGGTGGACACACACAGATCGCCGGCTTCGGCGCTTTTTCCAAAACACCCTCTACCGTTGAACCAGTGGAAGAAAACCTTTCGCCCAGGGGTGGATACACACACACAGAGCCGTTTTTCGGCGCGGTCAAAGTAGTAGTAAGGCCAGGGGCCTCCAGTAGCGTCCTGACTCCCAGGGGAACATTTGTACAAAAAGCGCCAAATTGTTGGCGCAACGAAGAACTAGTAGACACCTAAAAAGCCTTAGAAAAACAGAAAAAGCAACGAAAAAAGAGCAGACTAAGAGGGCAAGAAAGAAAAGTAGGTGTAAATACGAGGCCCACTTAGTTAAACGAAAGTAGAAGGCGAGCGGGACATTCGTCTTACACCGCCCGGGTAGCTAGCAATAGCTAGGAGAAACAGAAGGAAAGGCACCAACACACAAGTGTGTTGAGTGCGATTTCCTTCTGTTTCCCGAGTAGCGGGTGGGATAGCAACAGAGGCCTGGGGAGGGGGGGGTTGTGCATGATGAATTCATCCGGCCTGTGAATACTTAGCAGTGCAGGCATGTGATTACTTAGCCGTCAAGTATGCTCAGACTAGAAAAAACGGATCCGAAAAAAGAAGACTGAATGCTGAAATCTGAGAACAGGGAAACACGCACCTGATTGGAAAACATGAAAAGAAAACTAAATGCTGAAATCTGAGATCAGAAGTTCGGAATCTGAAAGAACCGTTTTTTGGCCCGGCGGCCGGTGTGGCGGTTGATTCAGTGAGGGTGTCGATGCCTTCCTGTAATGTTCCAGTGATCGGTGGTGCGTTGGGGTGTTTGCTTTCCCATGCAAGAACGGCGCCCCTGTGAAGGGGATCACACTCAGCACCCGAGTGGGACGGCTGAGCAGGACACACTTCGAACTTGGATTTTCAGTTAATGCAAGTATCACGTTGGGAAAGAAGGTGAGGGAAACGTAAGGTGAAAGGTCAGCGCAACTGAAATGTTTAACAATCTGTTCACTCATCTGCAGAAGCGCGGCTGAACGTCGGCGGCTGAAAGCAGCGGTGGGAAAACCTGTTTATGGGAGGGTATCATGAGGAAAAACCATGAAACCAACGAACAGCAGCAGGGTGGACCATTGGAGTCAATGTGTTGAAAGCAGGTACGTGAACCTGGCGTCCCAGGTTCATATCCTCTCCAATCATCAGTAGCTTCGTTGGCCACAGACTGATGAAAGGAGCTGTGGCCCCCTGCTTGATGGAAATGGTGAAAGGAGCCCTTTTTCCAGGGGTGGACACACACACACACACAGACGCACAATTTTTGCCCCCGCCCGCTTGAGGATTTCGGGTGGAAGATGGTGCTTCCGCAGATTCCCCAGAACAAGATTTACTGATGGGGAAAGTCATCATCAAGGGTTCCAAAGGGATGCCTATCTGGATGAGACTGAAAAACAACCCTTTGGAACTCCTGGATAAAGTTCACCCGCCGATTGTAAGCAAAACCCCAGGGATCCATGACGCTGTCACTTCCATTTTGAGGAGCTTTGGTCGAGCTATACTGAATCCCCAAGCTGGAAAAAAAACTAATTGGAAATGAGTGGGGAAACCAATCCCCCTTTAAAAAAATACTATACTAGTATTTAAGGTCCTTCAGGTTTTTCCACTGACTGGGTAGGTAAACAACAAATAAACCAGGTAGATTTGGTTTACATGAGGTGAAAAGGATTGGTATAACTTTGTCTTTCTCCGTTTCCGCAGGCTGGACCACAACAATATCTGCATGGGAACTCTGTGACACTTCCATGAGATTCCACACTAAACAGGTGGCTGGCAAACATGAATGACGGTTTGCTGCATTCTTTTGCAAACTGAACTAACAAGCAGAAAACTCCCAAATGTGTCTTGCCAAACAAACTTGGGATGTTCAACATCTTCGACGGGATTTCCTTTCTTGGAACGAGACAGGTTTGTGGGAGTCGTCTCCGGGTGGGTTGCACGGATGTTACGTCCTTCAACCACTCCCAGAGGCCCTGAACCACTCCAACCAGCTACCCCCACGCAACCTCCCACCAGCACCTTCCCGCTTCCGCTGCGCGGCTGAAGTAGTTTGGACTGCTTCGCCGAATGCTCCGCGCGGATGGAGCGTAGGGAAGAGACAGTGGTGGTGATGGAGCCGATGAAGGAACTGAAGACACCCATGGCGAGCAAAATGATCCAAATAGCGAAGAACCTGCAAGTCCAAAGTTGTCGGTGCGAATGTGTTGCATGCCTGGTTCTATACATCACATGAACTGGGGTTCAGCACACACACAGCCATGTCTGCCGTTGCTCTCCATCCAATCACCTGGTCAATCACCCTGGCCAAACTGTCCCAATGGGTTCCAATTGTCTGCTGCACCTCTTCTCCTCCAAAGGGTTTCACATAGTATTATATATATATATACAACCCCCCAAATATATAGATAGAATTGTCATCAAAAGTAAATCCCCTAAATGTATTGGAAACTGTGCCGCTATCTATTTAGGTTCCGCATATACCTCTCATATTATCCCCCCCCGTACCTCTGCCCATGCGCCTTTCCAGACCGCTGATTGGAGCGATGTTGTTGGTGGCCGGGGTAAATTGCGTGAGCGCCCAGTGCATCGACGCAGCATAGGCGTCCGCAAAGGAGGCCTGTGTAGACGAAAGAGAGGTTGCTTGCGAGTGTGGCGAAGGAGAGTGGCTTGAAGGGTGGTGAAGTAGGAAAGTCAGGAAAAGGGTCCAGAGCTGCAGCCTGCAGCAAGTGAAAGTTTCTCTGAGAAAAAATGTTCCGTTCCTTCCATGTATCAGACTTTGTGACGGCTTTCTTGACGTTCACCAAGGGTTGGAGAACTGGGGCTGACAAGACATTTAACTATACGTTGAAACAGAGAGGAAACTAGTTCTTGGGGTCTCAGTTTCTCTACCTTTGCAAGTGGGCGCATTCACTCTTCTGCTATAGATATGGGTGTGAAGTAAAATCCGCCGACCCCGGTCTAGGCCAATGAACGTGAGCGTGAGCGAAGCCGGGCCGGCGTGTTCCTGTTGAGGGGTTGCGGTGAGCGGTGGGCGATGTTACTCAGCCGTCACACTGCCAACCACTTGCCAAAACACTCCGATTTTTTCTTGCGAAAAGCGTTGCCTTAGGGATTGGTCGTGGGTTCTCGTCCCGCACCCAGTCTGGCGTCTTTGGATTGAGGCGGCGCGGGATTAAAGCCAGGCACGCCGCATGGCACCGCGCGTGCGGCATGATGGCACCACGCAGCAGTACCATGTACGTGGTGTGCTTGGCTCGGGCCCTGCAGGCGCCTGCTTGGGGGTGGGGAGTAAGCCCGCTACCCTGGCAGGGGGATGATCTATCAGAGGCACCTGCCTGGAAGGCCACTAGGGAGGGCGTAGACAAACGGATTTTTGAAATGTCGAACCGACGCGCATTAGATCAACATAGCGTCAACATAGCTCCAAGATGGATCAGCACAGCCACAACATGGCTCCAAGATAGTCGTCTTCAAATGTGAGTGGTGCCAGATATGCTGCCCGAGTAGACTTGCATTATTCGCATTTTGTGATTTTGCTTGCTCTCCTTATCTTACTCTTCCAGAGAAAGAGAAAAGCGAAAGGGCAAGAGAAAGAGGCAGCGGAACAGAAACACAAAGAGAAAGCCTGCTTGCCTGCACCTGCCTGCTTGCCTGCCCGGCCCGCTCTTAGGCGCACGCCTTGAAATAGGGAGACCTCCCACAAGGGTCAAGGATCAAAAACTGACAGGGATCAACAAAACATTTTTAGGAGATCAAAATTAATTGCGATCAAAAACATACTCGTCACTTGCGGTGTCAGGCGCAATGCTTTGTGGACCTAGCAGTGCAGACTTCGTGGGTGTAGCAGATTGTGAAGGTGGACTTACACAACCAATCTACGTAAAACTTAGAAAAGACCTGCCCGGTGATCGCCAACATAAAAGCCCCTTAACTGCATATTGCAGCAAAGCGACCAGCACCACCAGCGCGACAACAACAATCAGCTTTAGAAACTAGAGATTTCGGCTAGGCAAGCCAAGCGCCTTTTCACATGCACAGCGCTGTGCGAGCGAGAGGTAGATCAGTGCCGCCATCGCGGCTGGAGCCAGAACTCAAGTGGATCGGGTCACCGCTCTGATGGTGTGTCCCGGTTGTGTTCTGGCTGGTGGCAACAACGACTCTGATACAGGTCATCCCTCGGAATAGAATTCGTGAAAACCAAAACCAAAAGATTTGCGCATGGCAAGGGCACTTTGCGAGGCAAACTGCAGAGTTCGTAATGTGGTCCTTTGATTAATAAACCCCCCTAGAATAATGTCTTTTTTTCCTGCACTGATTAATAAAGGCCCCCAGAATAATTGTATTTTTTTTTTGCAGGGGTAGTTGTAGTGGATGTTTTTTAATTGTTATGATTTACTTTAGTATTCCAAATTTGAGATTTCATTGATTCCCTTTCAATTTAATATTGCCAGAAGATTTATATAAATAAGGATTCTTTTCATTTTGGTCCTTTGATTGGTTTTCTTGTAGATTATATTGGAGGCCCTGGTTGTTGAGGGAGGGGGGGGGGGACCGGGGGGGAGTTGATTAATCAAGGGACTACATTAGACGAGCTTCGTCACCGAGCCAATGCAGGCGGACCTCCAATGTCTCCTCATCCTCCGAAAGCTTCCATGCCATCCTGCTTCAAGAGTGTTGATTTTGCGCATCCCAAGTGAACTGGGACAATGCCGATGCGTGATGTCTCTGCCCATCTTGCCAGGTGAACAGCTCCACCAGCTGTCCCACACGCAAAATGAGCTCCAACGCATAGCAAAAGGGATGCTGCAAACTGGTGCAGATTGATCGGAACAGGCTGTCTGAAAAGTTGGATATTTCTAACTGCACATTCTCAAGACATATTTGTAAAATGGATTAAAATGGTGACTTTATTTTGGTTGGAAATCTGAGAGTGTCTTTCGGCTTGGCTTGGAGCCTTCTTGGGGGATTAAAGAAGTGGGAGAGGGTTCGGGGGGGGGGGCGCAGCGCCTCCCCCGCAATGCAAACAAAGTATCGACAGCGTGTTTCAAAAGCAGCGGCAGTAGCAGGAGAGCGAGACAGAGGGAGAGAGGGACAGGAAAAAAGAAAAAGCACACACACAGAGTGAGTGAGAGTGAGTCAGGGTGAGTGATAGTGAGGGTGAGAGTTTTTTCAAGGAGAGAAGCAGCGAGGAAAGACCAAGAGATATCCTTTGATCCCATGCGCCGATTTCACGCTTCCAATCCCGGCTTCACAAGGCTTCACTTCCAACTGACCAACTGACCAACTCTAGTCTACCGGGGTCTCACTTCCATCTCGCTCCCTCTCTAGTTCGTCGGTCTGTTGCGGGGCGGCGGATGGCGGCGGCGCGGCGCGGAACCGCGCCCGCGGCGGAGACGGACGGCCGACGGGCGCACGCAGGGCCTCCTCGGGCTTCAAGCCCATCACGGAGACCCAAGATTCCCCATCGCTCCTGAAAACATCCCACGAGGTGACCAGGAACGTGACGAGGACGTGACGGTGGCCCGGTGACAAGGGGTTGAGGTGGAGGATGAACGCGGTCCGCCTCCCGTGGGTGTATACCTTATAAGTATAAAACATATAACATTACTAGGCAAATTATGGCGAATTAGATTGGTTAGGTTGCTGTCAAAATATGCTCAACGGAACTACTCCCTAGGGATCCAGTCGTACCTTCTCAGAAGGCACGACTGGACCCTCCAAAGCCACCCCAGTCCCACCCAACCTGAGAAGGTACCTAGGGACTGTCGGGCGTATTGGCCGTTGGACGGACCCAGGGCATCGGACCCAGCGGACCAAGCCCAAAGCAGAGGAGGGAGGACGGACCAGGGGACCAAGCCAAAGCAGAGGACCGGTCACCAATCATTGTTTGTTTGATGCATATGATGTTTGTTCTTGATGCTGATCATCTTTTTCTTGATGCTCATGGTTTTTTTGTTGATACCTATCCCTCCCAGAGGCCTGGAAGAAGGAAACTAGACCCGTCTACCGTCTACCTATTGGGCATCTCCATGTATCCCCCATCACTATACTCAACAAAAAGGCTACGAATCACAAGACCTGACAGCATCGAATGGGACATGAGTCGTTGACACGTGAGGACCAGAGTCATCTCTGAGTCGAGCAACTGCAACAACCATCACCCGTTGCGATCATGGATACCTGGATTTGCTTAAGGCAGGAACCGGGGGAAAACAAAAGAACAAACACACTCAAGCAAACCAAGGATATGACGCTATGACATGCCAACCTGGAAAGTTCCAGTGTGCTCCTGCGAGAGTTCTTGTCCAGCTGCCTTCCCCCACGGCCGACAAGCTCGACTTCCGCGGAACCAATCAAACACTTACCCACCTACCCTTACCCTCCGAGAAATGGAAGTGGATGGCACCACCTGTTTGGTCTTCGCAAAAATGGTCATCCAAATCTTCAGTGCCATGCCATCCACGTAACCATCATGATTTTAGGGAGTTGCCACTATATAATGAACCAGGGGTTTGGTCGGTCTACAGTTTTGGTCTTTGGAATCATGGTTACCTACTATATACTGTAACCCAACAGAGGTTGAAGAACCCTGTAGGCTATCCCATAGGTACCCTGGTAGGGTCCTATAAGGTCACTTAACCTCTGCTGGACTACAGTGGTGTGACTGGTTTTCACCCCGCTCTACTTGACCAAAAAGCAGCGCTGGAAGAAACTCTGAGAGCTCTATAACCCAGAGGCTCATGACATCTCATGACCGCTCATGGGCCCGAAATAGAACTGTTGCATGGCTTAGGTTCAAAACCCTATAGTTGTGAGATGTTGTGAGGGCAAAACACCGCAGGAGGGTCCGATGAGCCTCTGGAAATTAAGAAACCGCCGATCTCTAAACACTCGAGCAAACAATCCAACAGAAACTTCAGGGGTACTATGAGGGGCGCTTGCGTTTCAGCAGAACTTGGTTCAAGGAGGAGGCAAAATGTGCTTTTAATGAAAAACATCTTGACTGCCAGCCATCATGAAAAGCAACATCTTTTCACATGAAAAGCAACAGCTTCATGGGTGACCACATAGGTGACTGTATTTGGTACGAACCGTCTTCTGATGATCTTCATGATCGTCACGACACTTTTCAGGCACGAAGAAACAAATCACATAGCAGATGTACCAGCTGCTTCCCTTCCCTTCGGTGGCTGAGAAAAAAGAAGCAAAAACGAGACCCTATATAACTCCCTATATAGGGGTGGTCTGCATTTGGCTTTCCCCGCACACCGCAGTTCGCGAGGTATTTCCGCACTGCATGAAGGGTCTGAGTCGCGCGAGCCTCTCTGAAGAAAGAGTATGGACCCGAACCAACTGCTACATCGCTACATGTGACGTGTGTAAACCCTAGTTGCTTCAGTCCCAAACCCTAGTTGTGACAAGCTCTGCCTCCCCCATTCGAACTGCGCCAATCCCCACGCCGGCGCCGGCGGTCATGGAGGCCAAGCCATACCAGCTGCAGGCGATGAGATGGTTCATGGCCTGAGCCACTTGCAGTGCGGACGGACAAACCGATACACCCCACAAGTTGATCATGACCCGTTTGGGCTCCTGGCCGCCCCCTCCGTTTCGAAGGTGGTTAGGGTGGGAGCCAGGGGGGTCTGTGCCCACCGAACCTGAGCATATGGTTGGAGCCCTAGGGTGAATGAATCCAAACAATAAGAAAAACGGCATCTGTAGCACTCCCAAGTAAGAGGTCGTCGCCTTACTCTAAGGAAGTCCAAGATCGAGCGTCGATGGTGAGGCTTTCGGGTCGTCGAAGTCGATCGCATCTTCGCTTGTCAAAGGAACTGATACTCTGACGAACACACAAAAACAGGCTACATTGGGGTGGTTTTGGGGGTCAATGTAGGCATATATATGGCATACATGGAGTGTCTGGGATAGGGAGACCCCCAAGATCTTGAGCGATCCAAGATCACCGACACCAAGGTCACACGAAAACACCGGTCCACCGACGGGACGAATCGATCCCAGAGTTCTGTCCGAACCTTCCCTACATCTGGGGCGGTCCTTCGGTATATCGGTCTTAGGGTTTTGTGAACATCGGTTTCCCATGTTTGATGAATATCATATCACTAACATACCTTATCGGTTTGATGCAAAGGCATCGGTCGGTTTTCCGAACATCGGTTTTCAGTGTATGCTCGATGATGCTCAATGTAAGACCGACAAACAGCATTTGGTTCCGACGTTTTTGGACAGATCTCATCTGCTTGAAGGTGGAGTCTCTGATGAGTGGAGTCCGTCCTATGTCTTATGGCATACCAAACATAAAGCCATATGAGTAAAGTATCCTCTCTGATCCCCATGATCTCTTATGAGTGAAGGATACTTGAAGATGAACCTTCAATAAACTTCATGATCATGTCCACACCATAACTTCATCCCACATCCTGATTTGTTGCAGACTGACGTTTCTTCTTTTTCAAGATGTGGAAAGAAATCTTCCATCCTAGGTCTTGACGTGAATAGTTCTCCCACCATTCCAGTTCCAGTGGCCTATGTTCTATACAAACTCGCAAACCAGTGTGAAACACTTCAAGAAAGGGCGGCTACCAGGGCTGCTACTTGACTTTCCCTCACCTACGACTGGTGCGAAGGCACCACTCAATCAACGGCAACTCGCATCCACCAGCTTTCAGTGGCCCCGACATCTTCCGCTTGATCCAGGTCGCAATCATCATCGATAGCCCCGCGACGATCTTCATGACCTGCGGTGTCACGGTCAAACTGAAACTGTGTGCAACATGTTTGACGATACCCGTGAGTACTGAGGGCGCCCACCTGGGTGCGGAGAATTTCCAGGACGTCCAGGTACAGGACCAAATAAAGGGATCTGATCCAGGGTGAAATCCACAAAATCCAAAGCCTACAAAATCCAAAGGTGAAACTTCCACCGCCCGGCCAGCCCCCCGTCCTTTATCTTCCCTAGGGCTCCAAGTACCTCCTCAGGTTCGGTATGACTGGACCCTCCTGGCACCACCTCAGTCCCACCGAACCGAAACGATACGGTACGACTGGAGCCCTAGGGAAGATAAAGGACGGGGGGCTGGCCGGGCGGTGGA